CATAAATTAGAACTGCTCGTTTTATTGGTAAGCACGTCACAGTAAGTTATTCAATGCATTCAAGGTTGTTTCTGATATTCTCATGTGGTAATGGAGTGATATATGCAGTGTGCATGTGTTTCACTTACGACAGTTTTATTGCAAATTCTTTCAGGAATATCATGATTTCAAATCGAACATAGAGCATTCATATAAAACTTTAACAAGTGAATATTTCATTATGAATCCTTGAAATATAGCCATGTGTCACACCAAGAAATAATGAGGTTTAACTAAGTTTTCTTCAAATTATTTGAAATTACATTATGTAGGTAATCAATAGTCCTGTTCTATGTTGATAGGTTGGTTACTAAAAAAACTGATTTTGTTGGGATTGTTAAATCTTTATGTGAGTTAATAAGTTTTAGTTATTGGTTTTGACTATTTAAAATAAAGCTGTTCAAAGAATTTAGTCCCAAGGGATGAGATATAAACTATTTTGGTTCTTTATTATTTATTTTTAAGATCATTATTATTCATTGTTTTTCCTTTGAATTTTTAACAGATTAGCTTTGATGAATAGCCACATCATATTATTTGCTATTCACATTCTATGCACAAGAATTTGTTTTTGTATTACTCTTCTAATATTTTTCAACAATACTCAATTGATCAAATAATGATCATTTATCTAATCCAATTTGATTTTCCGAATAATTTAAATATATTAACAGTGTGTTTTGACAATAACAGCTATCTGTTCCAAGTTAACATCAAATTTCTTGAGATTTGGTATCCAAAATTTTCTTCTACTTTTTTACCACTAGTCACTGAACTTATCATGATATTCATAATTTAAGATGTAACAATTATGTGCAATTCTTCTACTGTAATGTATATATCGCTGTCCCGGTGGAACATTGACGTAACTGAAAATTTATTGAAAATGAGTTTATGTCATGATTGGGTCCAAACTTGGTTACCCCATTCGCCAGATCACTGTCAGACGTGTTGTTCAGCTTTTAGCCACCAGGGTACAGATGCGTCATATTTGAAAAATCAGCTGATCTCGGAGAAACAATGACAGAATACAGAATGTATAGTTGTGCTTCGATAGGTCGAGTGTGTGCTTGTACCTACGGTGCTACATTGACGCAATTAATTGTATTTTATCTTAATTATTATTTTAAAAGTTTTTTTACAAATATGCGGAAACATTGACATAACTGTATTCTGTATCATTTTTTATCTGGATTTCTTCTTATTGTGAGGCAACATTCACGTAATGTTGCCGTTTGAAATGTCCAAATAGGGTATCTGAAGAGAGAGACACAGTTTAAAAAGTATTGGTCATTAGGGTCCTTGCAAAGACAGCGAGATTTTTTGGCTTCTTGTATTCAGCCACTTGAGTTAAGCTACCGACGTATTTCTACATCAAAAACGATTCCCAGAAGCTTTTAAAAATGCGGAGCAGAAGAAAAAGAGAATATGCAAACAACTATTGAAAGTCACTCTTAGAGGAAAAGGATCTATGTTGTAAAGAAAAAACTAGCGATAAACTGAACACAAAATTTTTGATAACAATATACATCTGGCTATTTGTGACTTACAAGCAGTGTTACCTGTACCAATAGGACAAAGTTCTGCATTTTTTACAAATCTCGCTTAATCTGTTAGAACTTTACAGTATTACTAATAAGTACCTTGTTCGCGGTCACACCCAAAATGAAGGTGATTCAGTCCACAGCATAATAGAAAAAGCAGTGAAGAGGGCAACCAAATCAGGGCCTACATACATTCCCGAGCAATACATTGAATTAATTAGGAATGCTAAGCAAACAGAAGCTCCTTTAACCATTAAAGAAATGGATTTCACTGAGTTTTACAATGTAAAAGCACTGTACAATGAAATGAGACTAGATTTCACCAAAGACGAGGAAGCCCGTGACTTCAAAATAACTGAAGTAATATTACTTCAAATCTTAAAATGGGAAATATTACTTCCTGTATAAAAAAAGTTATAAACAACCAATGTGGTCTGAGCTCATCGGAATTGTTTTCAGCGAACTGTCAGTTCTGTAGGGCTTACTCTTCAAAAATTCCTTTAGGTGATAACAAACTAAAAGATTTGAAACAGTTGCTTTCAAAATGTGTTGCTGGATTTGAATTTTGAATTTTATTTTTAAGTTCCTTTTTATTAAAAATGTTTGCTTTCACTACAATTTTCAATTGAGAGTTTCACTCCAATTTCAAACATTTTACAAAATGAGTATGCATGTTGAATATTTTATCTTTAAAAGTAAATTCTAAATTTTTCTTTTTAAAACTAAATTCTTAACTTTTCATCCCTAAATTTGATCCCCAATTACAATTACGTCATTGTTGCCTCAGTTATTTTTTGGAAACAATGACATAATTGCAATTGGGGATCAAATTTAGAGATGAAAAATTAAGAATTCAGTTCGAATGTGTAGTAGAGTTACAACAGTACATCACAGTGGCTAAGTATAACTGCAATACTAATCCAGTAACTTTATTATACTTCATTGCATGAGGTATTAAAAAAATAATTATATATTTTTGGCTCTCCTGAAAAGTTACACTTTTGTAGTTACTTCATTGTTCCACCAGGACAGCTATATATAAGAAATTTCAATAGGTTATTAAAAGTTTTTTAGTACAATTTTCTTCTATTTTGTATTTTTTCCAAGTTGATGGGATATCTTCAAAATTGTGATTATATTTTTAAATTGATATTCGCTATGTGCAACTTCGGAAGAGTAACAACTAGTGTCATAGACCAGCAAAATTTTATAGTGTCTTTAATATATTAGTTTTACATATTTAAACTGCAAATGAAATGACCTTAACTTATTTATTTATATCACAATAACCATTGTCATTAATATCAATAATTAATTTCTAAAAAAAATTAAGAGATTTTTAACTGTAAAAATGGGTAAGTATATTTTTTATGTATAGATTGCATCATTTGAAAATTAAAGATGGAGGTTATTAAAAGGTAAACATTTCTATGAAGAGCAACACCTAGTGTCATAGATCAGTGAAGTTTTTACTAAACTGCAAATAAAAAAAACTAGCAAAAACTTGTTTATTTAATACAATAATTATTGTTATTTATATTAAAAAACCACTTTTCTCTTTGCATTCATTTGTGCTTATAATTTGGAATCCAATAAAATTTGAATTAAATGAAATGAGGTTAAATGCTCGAATAAATGAACTTTGAAAATAAGGCTATTATCTAGCACAAGTTAATTAAATCTAGCCCAAGTACTTTCGCTTAAAATAGCATCTTCAGGGGCATTTCGTCAAAATGTGAACTATCCGGCAAGCATAGAATGTGGAAACATTAAAAATAACATAAATTGTACAAAACACTACACTAAAACGAGGACAAACAGTTTAAAATTACTTCTACGCTACATTCTCTGTCAGTATCTGGAGGGATAATGCCTCCAGATACTGACAGAGAATGTAGCGTAGAAGTAATTTTAAACTGGAAGTCCTCGTTTTAGTGTAGTGTTTTGTACAATTTATGTTATTTTTAATGTTTCCACATTCTACGCTTGCCGGATAGTTCACATTTTGACGAAATGCCCCTGAAGATGCTATTTTAAGCGAAAGTACTTGGGCTAGATTTAATTAACTTGTGCTCGATAATAGAATAATTTTCAAAAAAAAATTTGAATTGACGATTTCTTGTATTTTTACAAATTTATAACAGCATTTGCGATATCCCATTTTCTTCATTGATACTATGTTTAGGATTAAACTTAAGAGGTCACTGGTTAAATGATATTGGATAAATAATTATAAAGAAAAATGCAATATTTGTTTGTACATAAAAGTAGCAAAAATAACAACTATCAATTGTAAATAAATTACGAAGTTAACTGATCTCACTCATTATCGTTGTCCGTACAAAGAATATAGACTTACTCTCTGAAGATATTGATGTCGTAAGATTCTTAGCCAGGGGAATGTCACTATCCTACGTCCTGCCTCTCAGGCACGAGAACTTGTTGTTTCTTTTACTGTCTTGGTCTGAAATGCCTGCCTTGAGAATCTTGAGATCGTTACCAGGGCAAAACCACCCTCTGATCGTTGGGTGGTCAACAGCTCGTGTGCAAGTGCCATAAATCAACCCTATTGTCGGACGATTTTGAATGGCGATAGTTTAAAGTTAATTGCTACAGTAATACAAAACCTTACACTTGTTTCAATCTTTGAGACACAGAATACAAAGGAAAAAGCCATATTCTGCATACTTCAACATAATAAATGAGATATCCAGTAACAATTTTACGAAATAACAGGAAATAATATATTTTAAAAAGGTCTTTAGAATACAGCATTAAACTAGATCACATTACAGTACCGTAACAGACAAATATTAAATGTAAAAATATGAAAAGAATTTGTACATACTCTCCCAAACATACTACTTTAATTAAATGTGCTAAAAAATGCAAGTTTTCACCACTTTATGCACACAATCGTTTCTGGTATCCCCTCGAAGTACTTGCACACAACAAATAAATCTTCTCATTAACTTTATGATAATTGGTTCTTTTTCATTTAATAAACACTAAAATATGATTTCTATTATACCCCTAATCACATTTCTTAATATCCTCATTTAATTTTGAATATTAATTATGTTGCTTTACTATTGACTAACAAGTTACACATTTTAAGCTCTGGGTTTTCTAGAATTTGCCTAGAGGTATAAATATGAATTAGTTAAAGTAATTAAACCAAAGATGCTGATGAAACTTATTAAGTAATAACGTTTGCCTGGATAATTGTTCAATTCTATATCTATATCTATAAATGTAATTTCTCATATATATGCCACTATTACTTTACTTTTGCTGATATTAATTTAAATATTTGAACGTAAACAATTTTAATTGAATTGGTCAATCAAATAGGAATAACAGATCTTCAACATAAATATACTATGTTTATCCTTAAATGCAGTAAATACTAATTACCTGAAATATTATACTGAAAGAAGCGTTTTCAACGCTACTTTTTAGAACGTTGCGTCCCATATTTGTTATTTAATATTTTAAATCATCCTTATTTTAAGATAAGGTTTAGATAAAGCCAAGAAAACATCATCATCTGTAGAAGTTGCCAACAAATAGTAAGGTTAATAACAACTTATTCTTTTTTATTCATGAATGTGATTTAATTTCGGCCTCGACTTTAGTATTTATTAATCTGCTTTTTCACAGTGGTAAGAGCGCCTACCTTTAAACCTAAAGGTCGTGAGTTCGAATCTCTCCTGGGTGGAAATTTTCGTTTATTAAAAAAATTAATAAAAATGAAAATAATTTGGACGATTTTCACATTTGGTCCCATTGAATATAGCCACAATGGAGCTGTCACTTGTCAGCAGAGAACTACGAACGCTGTCAGTTCAATTCACAGAACAAATTTTTGACGTTTGTCTGTGTTGTCATGTCTTTAAAATATATATGTTGTAGGCTTCAATTACAAATAGAGAAGCTTTAAAAAATACATTTTTATTATATTATCATATGAATTATGCAATTTTTTTATTTTTTAATTTTTTTATATACAACACAAACGAATAAATACTCGTTTCTTCTCATATTAATTGCAGTTAATTATTACAAATTTTTTTTGGCTTTGGCCTTTGATAGATAAGTTGATAGATTTGGCAATTCTCAAATCACCTGTTGCCAGATTGTTACAGATGGTCACCAGATGTCTGTGAAAAGTACCTGAATGTGTACTATTCTTATTCTTATTTTTTATTATTCTTTGAAATAATTTCTTTTTTACACCTAACCTAACCTAACCTTCTTAGTTCTTACCTATGTTTTTTACTTACTGTTAGTGTTAGATTGTTTTTCTACTCTCTTACTAGTAAATTGTATATTACCTACTATTTGGATGCTAAGTAAATGCATCATAACTGATACTGACACGTAATGACTAGCACGTAATAAAAAAAATTACGCTTCAGTTTTATAAAAATGTGTAATATCACATAAGCCTCGTAAGTCAGTTGGTCGAGTTACCATGGAAACGAATTAACGTTTCCATGGTAACGTTATTTTGACAGATTAAAAATTATTAAACTGTCAGTGTAAATATAGTGGTAATTTAATTTTTATTTTTATAAACAAAATAATGGTAGAAAAAGTATAGTACACAACTTGAGTTGTAAGATTATTACATGCTTGTAAAATTACTGCGCTTGCCGCTACGCGGCTCGCGCGCAACTTTTTTACTCGCATGTAATAAGCTTCTTACAACTCTCGTTATGTAATATACTATAACGTTCAGCGTTAGTTTTGAAATCGTTTTATTGGATTGAATTGATTGAATTGAAAAACCTAATAAAGCGAAGCAGCCGCGGAGATGGATGATACAAGTGGTTTTGCAATAGATGTGGTGAGGCAAATTTCATACGGAATGGATCCTTCTTCACGAGAAGTAATTTGTCGCTAAAACAGATAGTGACCATTATGTATGGATTTGCCAAAGATTTCACGCAACTACAAATCAGGGAGGAAGCAAAGATCAGTGCGAGAAGTGGAACAGAGAGGTTTGCACTACGTTTATAGAGCAGCATCCTGTAGAAATTGGAGGATTCAATGAGGCCGGTCAACCGATAACAGTGGAGATAGATGAGTCCTACTTCTTTCATAGGAAGTACCACCGAGGCGCATTTAGGCCAGGAAAATGGGTATTTGGAGGTATCGAAAGAGGGAGTGGAACAGTTTTCATAGGGCAACAAGGGATGAGGAAACACTTCTGCCCATTATATCCAGGTATGTTATTGTTAAAAATATATATCCAGGGAATAAAGTAATATTCTTTTTAGAATGATTTTACCAGGAACCATAATTAATTCAGATGGATGGAGAGCATATGCTAATATCGGTCGCATGGACGGTGGTGTATATGAACATAGGGTTGTTGTTCATCGGCAGCACTTTGTCGATCCGGATGACGACAGTGTTCATACGCAGAGTATCGAAAGTGTCGGGATGCGGGCAAAGAAGAAGCTACGTAGGCAATGCGGAACATCTAGGGAACTTTTTCAATTATATCTTGATGAGTTTTTATGGAGAGAACATACAAAAAACAGTAACCAGTTCTCAGAGTTTTTGATTTGCGTTAGGGAACAATTTGTAGTGTAGTTAAATTTATTTAGTATAGTAGTAATTTTAGGGCTTACTTCAATATTGGTGCAATGAACATAACCTGGCATCCAACTATATGTTTGTGCGAGACAGTGTTGCCACTTTTTTTGTATAAAGTGTAGGAGTGCTTAAAATAGAAAGATACTTTGAGGAAATTATATTATATAATGTTTTAAAAAACTTATACAGAAGTAAAATGCTTCACATTTGTATTTAGGTATATACTTAGGTAAATGTGAAGTGTTTTACTTCTGTAAAATGTAAAAATATACAAGCCACAATTTTTGAATTCATATTAAAAAGCATTCATAAAATAGTATTTTGTACTTTAAATACAGCTAAATATTTAGTGTATTCTTTTGTTTAACCTAATTCTTTTTTTCATTTAACTTTACTTTATTCTGTACTTTATAAAATTGTTCTGAAACTATTTTCTTGTGGCTTTATTTACTGTTTGTATTTTGAGAACGATTTCCGAATTGGAAATTGAAACGTCAATAAACATATTTTTTATCTTTAATTGTGGCTTATTCCCAGTTATAAATAGTAATTAATGTACTTTATAAAGTTTCTAAACTATTAATTTTTACCTTAAGCATAATTTTGATGGTTTTTTATTTTATAGCTGTTGACAACGACGTGCGTGTGCGTAGCGTGTGCACTTTCTAACCAATGTTGCCGCACTTTTCAGAGATATTGTTTATTGCGAAAATACTAATTCTCGATTACAATCATAAAGGCATAATAGAGTGATTAATATAACTGTATTTAATGCATTAACTTATGTTCATTTAGATTTGATTGGATTTCTTTAGTTTAGGTTTTATTTTGTTACCAATAAACAAGTTTTTGCGAATTAGTGCAATTTCATTTTGTTTTTCATTGGTTGCATTGGTTATTTAACTTATTTTAATTTAACTTTTTAGATTTGACTGGATTATAGGTTAGGTTTTATTTTGTTATTAAATAGTCAGTAACGAGAACTCTTACTACTAATATGCACTAGATATACCCTTATTAACTGTACTCAAATTCAATATATTTACTCTGCAAAAAACAACTATATATGTGGCAATATGGTTATGTGTCGAATATTTTGTATTAATTGTATGCAAATGCGCTTTTTAGAATCTATAAAATTTTGTCCATTTTACAATATTGTATATTTTTGTATAATTTAAAGGAGAAAAATGATTGGTATTTACAATGTCTATACTTTATGTAACTAAGGCTCTTTCGTATTTTGATAACATTTTCCTCTTGCTAATTTTTGGATTTTCTACTTCTTATAATTTTTTTTAACATGATTACACTTTTGTTATGTTTCGTAATAAATATCACGAAAATTTTGCCTATTTCTATTTTTCAGGCTAAATCCCAAAAATGCGCATTTTTACCAATCCTTAGTGATGTAAACAAATACCAAAACTAGTGTAGTTTAGTCTATTTTACTCTAGTTAAGTTTAGTTTATTTTATTTTAGTTAGTTTATTTTCTTTAATTAAGTTTTGTTATATCTATAACCGTTTCATTACCGAAACTGTTTCATTATGTTTATTTCTTTCAATTAGTCAATCAGTAGGTATGTTAATTACTTTCATCTCATGGAAACTTAGTAAATATTCTGTACTAATTCCAGGAAACATTAATAGATTCAAATATCTAATTCCTTGAAATATTATAACAAAAGCAAACAGGTAAATTAACTATTCCAAATTTATGCAGATGTGTGGCATATTTTTTGTGTCGAGTTTTTAATCTCACAACAATAGAAATACCGCCCAGGTTATATTTAAATATATAATTAGGTGCTGAAGGAAGTTCTTGATGTAAAGAAAAATATGAATTTATATGACATGCTTGATGATCATCTGAGTTAATATCTCACCCTTTACTATTTAATCTTTGGCCAGCCAGTCCACTCTCTGATTGTCTATTATATAGACATGTCCTTTTGTCCGTATAAATACCACTTCCACGCTAGACAATTTTTTATATTGAAAATAACTGAAATCAGTATTATTATCACAGCTTTTTTTAGTCAATACTTCTTATCGCTCGTTTCATCTCACATGTGATTGGGACGAAAGATGAAATAGTTTTGATGTTCTTTGTTGCTAGTTTTATATTGTCAATAACCTTTAGTGTTTGTATTAATTTAGGTGTTAATGATGGTATAAAAGGATATGAAAAATATGAATGATAATAGATGTTCTGATTGTTGGATATAATGTTCTGAGATTTAGCAAAAAAGGTTGTTAAGTTATTTATATTAACAATATTAGAAAAAAGCATGATATGTATCATATCTGGAGGATAAGAGTTTTCAATAAAAATTTTTTTTACAATTGAAGATCTTGTAGATAATCTGAACGAGAAAGCCTTAAAACATGTGCTTTTAATCCTGTTATAAGGTTCATTTTCATGTTATTTGGGATGATGAGAGTAATAGCTTATAAATCTACTACTACACATAGGTTTTCTGAACCATTTGGTTTTCAACACATTGTCTGTAGTTCTTACAATTCTCATGTCAAGGAATGGTAGGGAATTATCTAACTCTTCCTCAACTGCAAATTGTATATGTTGATTATGATTGTTGAAAATGTTGACTGTTTCATGAATTTTGTGTTTAGGAAGTGCCAAAACTAAATCATCTACATATCTTCTAATAAAAGGAATGAAAAAAGTGCAATTGTTAATACAATCACTGATAACATCATCCATGACATAGCTACTGAGAATGAGTGAAAGACTAGATCCCATATAGGGCTACCAAAAATTTGTTTATAAAAGACACCATTAAATATAAAAATATTAGAATTAAAAACAAAGTTGATAAGCGTTTTGAAATGTAATAAGTCAATATTAGTATGTTGCAAAATCTCATTCCAATGTTTTTCAACACTACTTATGATTAAATCTAAAGGTAAATTGGTAAAAAGATGTTAAATCAAAACTAACTAAAATATAATTTTCTGGTAATTGGAAATTATTAAAAAAATAACTAAAATCAAATGAATCTTTAATGTAAAAATTGTTGTTTAAGTAGTGTTTTGTAGGTAATCCTCTTTATACATTGCAATTATATATATATATATATATATATATATACTTAAGGACCACCCTATATATATATATATATATATATATATATATATATATATATATATATATATATAGGGTGGTCCTTAAGTAATTGTACAAAAAGAAACCGTAGATTATACACTTTAAAATATTATGATTTAGGTAAAGTTGCTTTAATCAAATGTTGATATTAAGAAAGATACAGGGTGTTAAAGTGAAAATTTAAAATTTTATTTTTCGCTATAACTTTTATGTTTGTCAACATTTATGTATAAAAATTTACAACTGGGTACTATTAAATATCAGAAATCATAATTTGATGTATACTTTGATGTAGCTGATAGAGGGCGCCACATATGTAGCATACATTTGCACATAACTTTTTTGCTCTTGAAGTTACCGATATTTTTAATAAAAAATATTAAAGATACGTTATTTTAACAAAAAAAAGGTATATTTGTTAATACCTTCAAAACTCAACAGTTTTCGAGATAATCACAATTTAGAAATCAACTACATAATTCTGATTTATCGCAATTACTCCAGGCAACGAAAGAAAATTAAAGAAAAACATCAATACTTCTGAATTCTTATATAAAATACCTTTAATAAAGTTAATAGTTAATGAATTATTAAATAAAATAAATATATTAGCAGAATAAAATAATAGGATTTGATAAATAACAGAATAATTGAATTTTACATAAAACATTTTACGTTTTGTATTAAATTAAAGTCATAATCAAAACATTTTATTTACAATCCAAATTAAGAAATAGTCAAAGTAAATAAAATTAAACTTTTTGTCAGAGTAAGTGTTCACTATGTCCATCATTTTCTTTAATTCATTTGTCAATAAGGTAATCAGTTGATGTCTTTTGTTTTTTTTGAAATAAAAAAATATCTGTGAGATAATAAAGACTAAATTTTATTCATGGTTTTTAAAAGAATTGGACCAATTCGACCAGAATAAATTTTATTCATGGTTTTTAAAAGAATTCGTCCAATCTGAGCGTTAAGTGATCCCTGCGTAGACACTTTTCAAATTGATGATCCGATATCGGAGACATCCATCCGCCTGTGAATTCTTAAAAAGGCACGTTTTGTTTTTTCGACAAGCAGATCCCAACCTTGACGATTTACTTGTAAAAATTAACGGAATATTAGTTGATTAGCAACAAAATATACATTTCTTTCCATATGAACTTAATTACAAAGTATGGCTACGTGAAAATGCTATTAAACATACCGAAATTGTAAAAAATATTCAAGCAGTTTTACGTCGTTTAATTGATATTGTAATTTTTTTAAGTTGTCAGGAATTATCTTTTAGGGGACACGATGAATCGGAGCATTCGTTAAATCAAGGTAATTATAGAGAACTAATAAAAATGTTTAAGAAACACGATTTGGAATTTTCTAATTTACTTTTTGATTCAAAGACATTTAGCGCTGTATCTAAAACAATCCAGAATGAATTAATAGAATCAATTAGTTACATTTTGAGTAACGTTACTGAATCTGTGATTCAGGAAATCATTTGCTTTTCACTAGAAGTGGATGAAATTACCGACATATCATGTCATTCACAATTATCAATTGTTGTTCGATACTCGTTACGTGGTAATATCTATGAGAGGTTTTTAGGTTTTACAGACGTGAGTAAAAGCCATAAAGCAGAATATGTTTTTGGTGTTTTAAAGGATAGATTAAAATTTTTTGATATCAAAAATAAATTGGTAGGGCAAACTTATGACGGCGCTGCCGTGATGTCTGGTGAATTAAATGGTCTTCAGGCAAAAGTTAAAAGTATTGCAGCGCAAGCTTTATTTAATCACTGTCATGCGCATAGAATGAAACTAGTTTTGTAGGATACATGTAAAAAAAATAATGTCGCCTTTTTTTGCCAGTTTAAGCGGATTTGCTTCATTTTC